CACGCATACGCACGCACACGCGTTGTTGTGCTGCTTTTCGAGCACGTCCTCCGAAACTACGTAATCCCTCCGAACGCAGGGCAGGTTATTCACTGGCGGCGGCGTTCTCCTCGCATTCACTGCCGCCACTGCCCGGAACTTCCTCGGAAGTATGGCAACTGGCGGCGGGCTTCTCCCTCTGTCGTTGCCCATATATTCCGCAATAATAGTCGAAAAAAATAGAACCGGTGCAGCTTCAGCACGCTTCAAAAATTTAATTTGGCTGAAGATACGCTGCTGAAGACGCTCGCCAAAAGTCGAGTAAACGACGTGCGGAAACGGTATACATAACTGTCGAGAACACAATAGTGTGTGACATGGTTGTCACACGCATTCTCTAGTGTGTAGCATGGGTGTCATGCACTCTTCTGCGTATGCGATTGTCGCAAAACTGGAATGCCGCGCACTTTTACTAGTAGTGTACCGCTCACCCGACCCCGACCTCGACCCTGCTGTCTAATTAGGTAAAAACACAAACTTTTCCGAATCTTCGGCTCAAATGACGCTGCGTGCGGGGCGCGCGTGCCGGCCGGCGGGGCGGGCCGCGGGGCGGGCCGCGGGGCAGGGCAGCAGCAGCCCGTCGACGGCGGCCGCTAACGCAGCTAACGCTGCACGCCGTCGAGCCGGCCCAAGGCTCCCGCACTGCCCTCTCAGCGAGAAAGTTGTGTTTCTCCTTTCGCCTCTTGCGCCCGCCCGCCGCCCGGGCCGGTGGCGCGTGTGAGATAAGAACACGACCTCGGACAACGTGACGCGGTGACGCGTAACACCCTGTGACGACCGGCTCTCGGCTGCAGCTCCTCCTCCTGCTGCTGCCGCTGATTCGATGCACGTGCATATGCAGCGGTGCACATGGAGGTCCATGTGCGATGACGGTGCACTCACATGTACACACTGCCGACACAGCGGTGGGGTGGTTTGTTGCTTTGGTTGGTGTAATCCACAGGTGCGCGGCGACAAAACGGAAACATCCGCCGATCCTCTGAGTTTCGTTAAAATGAACTCTCTTCTGAAAAATGCACGGTGCTTGCCTGTGTACGTTCACCGCGCGCACACCCGGGTCCGGTCACGCCTGGCTATGCTCCCGGCTGGCGGCTCTCGGCTAACTTCAAAGATCACTGTTGCTTTCGTCTGAGCGAGCTCGGCGGTAAGCGGCGCGCGGCGGGGTGGCGCCCGTTCAGAGGCGCAGCGCGGGTTGCACTGACTGCCTGCCGTGGGCCCCGAAGAGCGCGCACGCCCGGGCCGCCCCTCGCTGCCCCCTACCACACGGGCACGCCCCACCCCGCCCCGCCCGGACCCTCTACGGTGGTCCAAGGTGAGTCAAGTGGGTGTGGGTCACGGGGAAACGTACGACAGTTACAAAGAGTAATTGAACAATTACTGAACAAATATTGTCGCACTTTTCACAAAAGTTTTTAAATAATGTCAGCCGCTCCCCATGAAAAATTTGATCCAAGCAGGGCGTTGGTTTTGCCCCGTCATACAGCACCTCTGAGGTGGTGGTGAGTAAGGACCCATTCATAGAATCGGGCTAAAGAGCAGGACTATCGATCAGGTGTTATTTCGTAGGCTACTTCAAGAAACGATCAACGGTAAACGGGTAAACATACCCAGAGAACAAGGTTTCGTCAAAGTGACACCACATAGTAATGTCAGTGTTATTTTGGTTGCCTGATTCGACGTCATGTTGATAACAAACGACATCGATGAAGCAAGTCACATAAAAGACAAAATTTTGCCACTGATATCACTCGATGTCATTTTGACAAAACCCCGTTCTCCGGGTAAGCATGACATTATCGAGGGGGCGGTGCACGTGCGTGTACCGTTTTTCGGCAGTCGCTTCCGATCATTGTCTGGGACTGGCCCTCCCCCCTGTGGCCTCCGCGAACGACGACGGCAGCGCACGCATTCAGACCCCAAAAGGCGGAAGCAATAGCGTCCCCGCGGTGCGCATTTCGTCAATAATTATTGTCAGTGCCCCCTCGCTGCTGCTGCTGCCGCTGCACTTGATCGTCGTCCTCGGGCTCGGGCCTGGTCGGATGAGAAGACGCCCTCTCTCTCCCCTTCGACTTCCTTGCACGCCCCGCGCCACGCGACGACGCCGGGGCGTGTCCAGCGGGAGGACGCGCTGCCATGCAGCGGTGCGCTCGCGCGGCGATGTGGACGTGGACGGGCCGCTCCCGTCATCATGCCAGTGCGCCGGACTGCACTTCCTCCTCAAGAAGATACCCGCGGCCTGGCCGCGGCCTTCGGTCCCGGTGCGCGCTGCCGCCGTCCCTGACGACGCCCCTCGCTGCGACACCGGCTTTGAGAGACACAGGTGCGGGGGCGTATCGTGCTCAGCCGTGCGGGGACACCGCGGCAAGGAGGGACGCGCATCGTGCAACACTAAGGTGCGTTTACACTAGTCACTTATTCCATTCTTATGTAAAAATGACGAAGTGCTGTGATCCTTTACCATCTCGTGTTTTGCGTGTCCACATTTTTTTCGGTTTTATGCAAATAGTTGAGGTTACACGAAATGAACGAGTCCACCCCTCTCTCTATCTAGTGGCGCCACTAATAATAACGCCGCAATTATTGCGTCGGCGAGTCGCGGTGGCGAGGGGGAAGAAAGCGGTTTGCTAATTAAAGTCGCTCTGGGGCTATCTGCCGCTAATCCTTCCGCGCTCTGTGCCCCTCCCCGCCGCTCCCCGCCCCTCTCCGCCACCGCCTCCCACGGCCCCGGAAGGTCGAGCGGAGGCGCGCGCTCCGCGTTACTCAATAGCCGCCCCACAGTCCGTCGGACGCGGGGCGACCGTCGGCGCCTCGGCGGCCGCGGGGCCCCGGTAGGCCCGGCCGCGCCCGCCGAGGCGCAGCCCGTCGCGGACGGACTGTACCCCCAGGTCGAGCAGAGCGCGGCCGTAGCAGTGACCGCCGAGCCGCAGTGAAAGTGACCGCGCGCTGTCTCTCTCCATCTCCCCATTTCTCTCGGCTCTCTTTCTCTCTCGCGCGCGCGCTCGCTCCACGCCCCACCGCGACTCCCTCCTCCCCACTCTCCTTCCGCGCTCTGTGTGTACAAAGGCACGTGATTCTTCCTGTGTCACTTTTTTGCTTTGACAGCTTCAACGCCGCGCTACCCCCTTCCCCCCTTTCTCACCTATCCCCCGGCACCACATTATCCTGCCCTTCTGAAAAAGAAAAAAAAAAACTAAATTCAATTCTTCATTTGTGAACTTCTCTCGAACTCTCCTGAAAAGTGCTCATATCTTGAGGCTATTTTGTTAAAAGAGACAAATTCTTAAAATTTTGTAAACAGTAATTCTTAAACTAATTAATTCCTTAACCACTGTCTTTGGGGAACTATACTTTTGTAGCACGAGCATCCCATCCGCATCCCCGCCCGTCTAGTGTAACCTGGTCGCAGTGTGGTGTACGGACGGTTGGTTATCCTTCCCCCGTTGCTGAGCTCGGCTCTGCGCTGTCAGTTCTGCTCGCCTCGTCTCGCCACTACTTCTTGCTTCCGGTGAGGATCGTCCCGGGCGGTGCGTCCTCGGCCGCGGGGAGGAGCAAGGACTCGCGAGGGTGGTGTGGTTGGTGGTTGTCATGGCTTTATTAGGTGCGATGCAATACCGTCGAGGACGGGGGGTCAGTTGTCGTTGTGGAGGGTGGGTCTGTGCGCCGCCGCCTCCGCGGCCCCCGCGCCCGCCGCCTCGGCCGCCCCGGCGGTGGCGTTGAAGGCCGTCTCCCCCAGGGCGCCGCCCACCTGGCTGGTGGCGTTGTGCAGCGACTCGACCGCCTCGCCCAGGTCGTGACCCTTGGCGAAGGGGAACGTCGGGTTGGTGTAGGCGAAGTAGACGCCCCTCGAGCTGCGCGTCACACCGAAATCAAAATTAAATTAAGATCAACAACAGGATCAACACCACTGACCGCGAACCTGGCGCGAGGAGTATCTCCGGGCACTCCGGGCGCCGCGGGCGGGACTACCCCACGCGCCAAGGGGGCGGGGGGTGGTGGGGGTCGCTGCCGACGGTGCCAAACCCACCTGGAGTTGGCGTGCTCGCCCATAAGGACCAACTCGGCGGCGTCATCCGGCGAGCACAGCCCCGTGTAGAAGGAGATGATGCTCGAGCAGCTGAAGCCCCAGAAGCCCTGCGGCGAGGCGATGGACTCGGCGAAGTAGGCCGGCGCTCGCGCGTGGTCGCAGCTCGAGTCTGCAGCAGAACGGGTGCGTGGACCGAGTGAGCGCAGGCCGAGACAGAACGCGACGCCAATGTAAAGTTGTACGTCATCCGTCACCCACCCCAGCTGCAGCCCGGCTGCTGGATGATGCTGTTGAGGTAGAAGTCCAGCTGTCCGGACGGCATCAGCTTGCCCTTCCAGCCCGCGTTGGTGTGGATCACGTCCACGAATTGGGCGTCCGACGCGTCGAGGCGCGGCGACGTGGAGATGGTGGTGAACAGCGGAAGCGCGGGGTCCAGGCCTGGAGCATACTCAGAGGTCAGGGTGGAGGTCACCCTCGAGGTCACCGCCGTGGCAGTGCGAACCCTACTCACCCGTGATCCTGGTCAGTTTGCCGCTGCGAATGTAGTTGGCGATGTTGCCCGCCACTTGGCCGCCCAGGCTGAAGCCCACCACGTGGATGTCCTCGAAGGCCGCGACGCCGAGGCGCACCATCTCGTCGATCAGCTGGGCCGTGCAGTTGCCCACCAGGGCTACGTTGTAGGTGGCCTGCACGTAGCACGGCGACGGCGCCAGCGGAGACCAGTCCACCGAGATGACGTTGTAGTCGCCGTACTTGAGGTACGCTGGTGGACAGTACATCGCACCCATCTCACTCACTCCCCCCTCGTGTGCCCTGACCTGGTCTAAAGTAACTGGGTCTCACGGCCGTGACGCCCCAAGTGGTGTACCGGGACGCACGTCGAGATAAAGGGCGACAAGGGAGACGTGAGCGATGGCCGAAAGTCTACAGACCGCCCGCCGGGCCACACCTCGGCGACGCCCCCGCCCCGCCCCGCCAC